CAAGTTAACAAACTTTGTCATGAAATGAATTTGACTTCAAGCAAATATGAAAATGAACAAAAGAACATGAAACAGATTGAAAGGGGAAAATTTTAGTCATCCAAAAGTATTTGACCTCTAGTTAAGAACATAGCTAAATCAACATTCTGCACAAGTGTAATAGAAGTATATTAGCCTTCCACACAGAAATCACACAGGTATGCCATGTCTTGCACACAAATATGACACAGGTACGTCACATCTTTCACACAAATATGGCATAGGTATTCCAAGCCTTTCTCCCATAAGTTGAGTCATTTAATCTATTTCATTAATTTCACTTTGAAAGAATCATTTATTCCTGATTTGAATAGCATTCATTGCTTGCCAAAGGAAATATAATTTTTTTTAAAGAAAGAGAAAAAACCATTAAATAGGTAAATTAACAGTAGCATTTCATTATTGGGAGGATAAAATGAGGCGACAATTGGAGAACATTCCACAATGACAAAAGAAGGATTGCGCCTTTTAAATTCATTTTTCAGAAATGGTAAACTACAGTGTATGTATATATATGGATGTGTGTGTGTGTATGTATGTGTAAGTATTTGCGAGGATTTGTTCATGGTGTGCGGTTTTCGCAAATCATTATTACTTCACAGAATAGCAACTATAAATTTGGTCTACACATTCACATACATACACACAGACATATGTTTGATACATTCGTCACATACATTGTGCATTGTGGGATAACTATCCTCTAGCTAACAGTTTTTATTTTCTCTTTACTATTATCTCTTTTACACACACAACACATACACACACATACACACACACACACACACACACACACACACGCACAACACATACACATTTTTTATTTTTATTTAAAAGTGTTGAAATAGCTTTTTTCTGAAATTCAAGTTTTATGCTATATCTTAAGCTAACAAAATTATCAGTATCAATATACCTCTTAGTCACCTTTGGAAGTAGACAAACTGATGACAGTGTGATGTGGAAATAGTCATAATTTTTGATGCCTATTTGTGGAAGATGATGAAAGTGATAATTCGTTTACTTTATCTTTTTATTACTTCTTTCCTCCTATTTTTAATTAATATAGCAAGATTTAGAATTACAATAATACGATGAAATGTTAGAAGTAGCATTTCTATGAATGAGGAAAAAATAGATTGTTAAATTTTTTCGGAAGTTTACTTACTGATATTTAAAAGCATTGAAATTGTTTTTGATTTATTTTACATACTAAAATAAACATTACGATAAATGAGTGGTGAGAAATTATCATTATTATCATTATCATTATCACTGTATTACAAATTGTAGTTTGCAAAATTGAAAAGATGATGTATAATGATACAGTTGTACAACGGATTGAGGAAGAAGAGGAGGAGGAAGGAGACAACGGGGTTCAAACATGCCGAAAATCGTGGAGTCCAAAGGCGCCTACATGGAAGCAGCAGACGGTGATGATGATGATGATGATTATCATTATCATCATCTTCATCATCATCATCATCCCTATTGGCTTTTTCTGCTTCCAGCTTCTGCTGCTGTTAATTTTTTCCTGTTTTTTTTTATGTCCTGTTGTAACAAATTCCTTTTGCTTCTGATTCTAATTCCTATTGATGAGCAATATCCGCCCGGCATCTTGGCTCCGTCTTGCATTCATCATTTTCGATTCCACTAATTACAATTTCAATTCTTTTTGACCCCATTATAATCAATTATATGAGAAAATTTATCTTTCTGTTTCTAATCAAATACAAAGTTTACAAATTAATTTAGAATTTTATTATTTTGTAAAAGGCATGATAATCATTGGCCATTTTCAACAAGGCTTAGTTTGGCTATGAATTTAGGATTGTCATTATAGATAATCTTACTGCAATATCTAAGTAGGAAGATTGCGTCGATCTTTGATGATAAATTGCGTTTTAAAAAAAGCACTATTGATGACATATCTAATCATTTATCCAAGATAATATGATTGAATAATAATGTTATCTCATTAATTTTTTTTTTTTTTTTTTTTTTTTATAATAGCATATTTCATTTTCTGCTAAATAAAGCAAGCACTAATTAAACATTGGATTTCAAATAGCCAAGTGTGATTCAGTGCTTAATCTAGCTAAAAGTGATCTTTAATGTGGAAACACTCGGGATCAAAAGACGATAATATAAATTAATCACTCATTTGCAAGTACAGAAAGTTTTGCCGAGAAAAGGTGCATAAATAAAATCGGTACTTGAAACAGATTCTAAAAGTATGCAGTAATAATTTTCAAAACTCCAATTGTAAAGTTTTATAAAATTCCACTAAAGTTATTACTAAAACTTCCAAAAAAAAAAGAAGGAAAAAAAATGGAATATATTTTTCAAAGGTGAAATGCAGCATTTTTTGATCATAATCGTACCGGAATGTTCTGCATTGATACCATTCGTTACACTGAAACCGTTTCGCTGTATTCATAAATTTTGCTTTGATATCACCGACCGGAAATCAAGAATTTCGTCAAAAAATAGCTAACAACTTAACTTTAAAAATTACAAACATTCGTATACACACATTATTTGGAGCATAGCAAGTCTTAAATTACATTAATTTTGCTGCATCGTCAATTAATATCACTGTTACAGTCATTGTAAAGATGTTACTGATAATATACCCAACAAATCATTGGTGATAATGATAGTATACGTGAAGCACATGTACTAACATAATGATAAATTAAATCATTCAATAGAAAGTTTATATGAAAAATGGAATCTTTTTATTTTACTGAAATTGGAATTTTAAATATTACTAACTTAAGAAACAGCAAGTTAAAATCATCCTAAAATTTTGCAATAGTACGATCCCCTTTTCAATATTTCTTTTTTTTATCCATCGAGTTCATTAATTTCGTTTCTGATAAATTTTAACGCCAAAATCAAAATTATAGTTCCATTAAAAAAACAGGAATGAAGAATGTATATTTTTTGTAGAAGCATAAAAGCATAGTGAAAAATTGCGTTAAATGTTGTTAATTTGCATAGTACGTTATAATTGTAAAATATTCATGTAATTTTGATAACAAATCAGTAAATTCTTCATTTTCAGCTTTATTTACATCTCAATCGATAATACTAACAGATAATTTAGTGTTAACAATATTATCTAATAGGGTGACAAACTAGTGATAGAGAATGGAGATAAGATAGGTTTGTGTACGGTATAATCAATGCTTACATTTCATGATATTAGTGGCAGAAAAAGCCATCAACAGTTAATTATAAACATTCATCCTTAATTTATTATCATAATATCCTTTGATGCTAACTATTTAAGAAATGCATTTGTTAGCATTTGTTTGTGAATTGAGTCAGCGCAAAAAAGTCATAAAACGAATGCCTGATTAAGTACCAATCTATCTATCGTCGATCCGTTTAGCAAACTTTCCAACAGTTCATCTATCTCATCGATTGATATCTGTGTATGTATGTTGTATGTGTGTGTACAAGTCTGTCTACTTTGTGGCACCATGAAATAAGTCATCTATTGAGATGTTATATTTAACTAAAAAATTTTTTACATGGAATATTTCCCTCTTATTTATTTATTTTTTTTTTTTGTATAGTTTTCAAACCAGAATTTGTATGTATGAATTTTTTAAAACAATTTAAACAAGAATTCAAATCTTCTATTTTTATGGAAAAAACTCTGAAGTTATTTCCAATAATTTTTCTTTTTTAATTTAAATTTAAGTTAATTTAATACAATTCATTGTGTCTAATTTCGATTATTGTCGCAGTAGTTTTTTGCTTTATTTCGATCACTGTCATAGAAACAGTCATGTGAGCATATATTAATTACTAAAACTACATATTTTGAGCATCTCTTAACAATCAGACAATAAAACTATCAACAACGAAATAATAATCAAACAATAAAACATTTTAAAAACAATTTAATCGATCAATTAAAAATGATTTGAACTATTAGCATTTTTAGGTATGTATAAAAACATTTTGCAATAAATTTAATACTAATTTTATTTCATTAATTATAAATTTCCGAAATTAAATAGTATTTCAAAGTAATATATTTCAAAGAAGAAATAATTCAGAAACAAAAATATGGGCCAGATTATTAGTGGCAATAAAGATACCGTAGCCTTGGATATCCGTTACTACTCCAGAGGCTCAATTCAATTCCATCAATCTAACTACCATTACTGGCCTATATCTAGCTTCAGTTTATATTTCCTGAGAACCAACCAAATTTCATTATTTATCAGAATGATCAACAATAAGTACACACCGATACAAATGACACCATAAGCAATAGGTGTAAATATTATAAAATTTTGTCAAATCTTTCACAGTTAACTATATATAATGAAAAGAAATGAATCCAATAAAAATGACAAAATGACAAACTTTGATCTGTGATAATGCTTACAATAATATTATGCACTAGATTTGGAACTCCTAAGACTTTCAAAATGATGAACATGAAGAATTTAAGATGTGCAACATAATTAATCTGAGCTTAAAACGTGAAATTTAATTAATTTTTCGAAAAAAAAAAAAGAATTACGAATAAATGAAACAAAGCAAATGGTTAATCAAAATGAATCCAATAGCATACCACTATTAGAGACAAATATTAAGCCTAAAATGGTGTGGTAATTGATTGCATGACGTTCTCGAAATCGTCATTGTCATCATAAATAAAAAAAAAAAAAAACACGCCTAAGACATCAAAGGCTCCACACCGACTGCTGGTAGTGTCCAGATAAAAAAGATTATTTCTTAGCAATTTAAAGTCAATAAAATATTGCTTGCAAATCATGCAAAAATGCATCATGACAAAATTATACCTACTCGCATGTATTTACCTCTATCTCTCTGCTCAGGTAATTTTATTCCGGAAATACAGAAGCAGAGAAATTGAAATTTTGACATCTTAATTTATAGCCTTGAATAAGCTTTTCATATTTAGGATTATAAATTCAGATAACAAAATTTCCAGCGTTTTTTGGGAAATGACAGCTAAATATATCAGTTAACTTACACATTTCACTAAAGATTTCACATACAACATTATCATAAAAATTGAATTCGATGCAACATAAATAGTATCTGCTATTTGGACTGTCATTAGAGACGTTCAGCTTTGTTTTGCTGGAATTGAAAACTGATGACGCCTACAATAATCAAATCATTTCGTTTTTATTCGTTGCTGTATTTGATGTCAAAAAGAATAAACAAACTTTCTGGTAACCAATTAATTTTACATATTAAACTTAAAATCATTTCAAGTTTGAATTTCAAGAAAGTTTACAAATTTCTTTCCTACATTATGAATAAATTTGCCATTCTTACCAAATAGTTCATTTCAACGATCAGAAAAAGAAAATACTAGGAGCTAATGGTACAGTCATTGCCATTCTCGGTAATAATTTTCTGCAATTCAATCAACACAAAGCAAAATAACGCACGCGGAAATTGCGTTGTGATAAGCGTCTTAAGCTAAATTAGAAAAAAAAATGGAAGGAAGGAAGGAAACTGATTCAGTCCTTAAACCCTAAACTCATCATATCATGCTAGCAGCTCTTGTTGCGCCTTTTTTACTTTTATGGAGAAAATGAGTGAAATTTTATGAGTCTGAAATTATTTTCAACGAATAATAGCAACTGTCCATCACAATGTCTCAAAGGACAATGAAAGGTTACTCAAATAATGGACAAGGTAAATTGAGGAAATTTTCTGGCGTAGCACTAACTTAACAAGCATTTGGATTGTTCAGCGACATTTGATAATACAAATTGATGGATAGATTACTGTTAAATAGAATTACTGCAAAAATAGAATTACTGTTAACAAAACGATTAGAAGTGAATATATGCCTTTTTTTTTCGAATAAATGTAAATAATAAACCATTTTAGTAATTGCAAGTTTACAAAGAATATTATCATACATTTCCTTCCATCCATAATAGTTATGCAAAAGAATGGATGGAGTAATGCAAAAAGAGAAGAAATGAAAAGTTTTATCAGGAAGAACTCTTTAGACTAAAAATCAAATTGCTTTCCATGTATTAATAGTTACAATCAGTTTTAAAATAAAAATAATAAAAAGGACAGTGATGAGAAGCTTATGCACTTGAAGGTATGCCAATAGATAAGAGCTATTGGAAGTGATTAAAGAGCAGAAAGTTTAGTAGGGTAAAGTTCCTATTCTTGATCATTTGTCATGTCAGTCTTATCATTGCTATTTGTTATCACTACCTTAGTTTTTTCCTATTAACAGCTCGGAAGCTTAGTTACAAGCATCAGACAATATGCACATTGACTATTGCATTTTGGGTCATCAAAGTGGCGGAATTAGAGTTGTTCAAATTGGTATGGTCAGGTGATGTGTGGTCTGTAATTAACTAATGGAGATGACAGAGGTTATGAAATATTTGTCATATATGGACCGTTCTCGATGGACCGTGTGATATGTAATCTTTTAAAAGCTGGATGCTTGAATTTAGCTTATTTTAGTGCTATGATTTGCTAATTTATTTCTTGGTAATGTGGGAAGCAGGTTAAATTCTTCCAAGTACATGGCGAAATTTCACAAATTGATTTAAAAGTTAGTCCTGGAACTGTATTCATATCTGCATTACCTATTTAAATTGTTCCATTCAGAGATATATAAAATTACTTCCGGTCTTATCCAGTATATCTTTTTTCAGTTATTACTACTAGTTTTGGGAAAATTGTGAATATGCCAGGTACGCATACATTCTACGATGGCTCGACTGTTTTACAGCCCATTGCTGATATAATCGGTCTTGAGGTTGATAAGGTAAGTCCACCTTGTTTGGATTTCTAATTTCCGTTTATACTCAAGACATAATGCAGAAATTATTTTGGTCTTGGAAGTTGCAAAAAAAAAAAACGGGGATTTTCAAACTGTAACGCTTCATTTCTTCACAAATAATTTTGCCATTTCATCCATCAGTTTCTATCTTTGCAGACATTAATGTTCAAGAATTTTGATAAACTATGGGGTTTAGTTATTCAGTGTAATATTTTTAAGTCGAGGGAAATGAATAGTCCTCTTTTGCCTATAGGAGAGTTATGTAATACTTATCGCGTATGGCTCTCATATGATTATTATTCAGGTCAACTTGCTTTTGTGTCAGCTTATATCGTTACCGTTTGCATATTTCCATTATCATATGTTTACTTCGACTGCAGTTTCGCAAACAGTACGTATTGCATGTCCCACAATTTTGGGTTTAATGTTCTGTTACTTTTGTTTTGGAAAGTATGTTTTTTATGTTTCTTTTTATGCGAGTAATGCAGTAGTTAGATCTCATTATAATGTATTAAAAGATATCTATAACACACTGTATTGAATATGTCTTTTGAGGATCTCACTTCCGAATGATTGTTGTGCGCTGTAGTTATGGATATCAGAAGATATCTATAATGCTGTGCTTGAGACATGTCCAAATTCTGTCTAAATAATTAACAAGTCAGGAGTAAAGTTTAACGAGCAAAACACTTTACTTTGTAATCTTTGGATGTAAAGTTAGTAGAGAGTTATCAAAACTCCTTCGTTGTCTAATTTCCATAACTTTTAAAATTATCTGTATCTTTTCAGTGCATTGAAACATTTGATATTACTGGTTGGCTTGTCATATATAATTATGCGTTTGTCTCCTCCAAGAATTGTACACAAGTAAGTTCATTTAATTTAAGACTGCATGAAGTTTCTCTAGAAATGCAGTTTTTAATTCATTTGTTGTAAGATTAATGTTCTATTCATAAGTAGCTTATAGCGTTACAGGATGGAAAAGCAAGTTTTCATTTGCAATGGAGCATGGCACATCCTTTTTAGGGGATAGCAAAGCAGAATCATATAAACAAAATCATATAATTTTTAGAAAATAGAAGTTTCGATGAAAAGGATTGAGTTCGTGATAATAATTGATCAGCAGTGTTTTTGCATACTATAACTTTGGAATAATATTAATCATATTGTATATTATAAATTGGGCGTAAAAAAAGCGACTAAGAATTATGGATATAATGTAGTAATGTAGTATATATATATATTTTTTGTTCTCTTGGAACTATATTTATAGGATACTTTTTAGGATCTGATTGTTCCTAATTTCCGATATAATTGAAACAGTTCTTATTTAGAGACAGTTTATCATGTTTTTCTTCACAGATGCATATTTACATTCGCTATGGGTTACCTCGTTTTTCTACATTGGTATCGTTGGTATGTATTGACTGCTTACTATCTCGATGTTACCGGTCCAATGATGGTTAGTTGTTTGTTTGCTTGTTTTACCGTTATCACTGTTATTAGAAATTTGGGGAGTTTCAGAGTCATCAAAGAATGAATGTTTCTTTTATAAATGCTTTTTTCAGATCACAAATCTTATAGATTATATACATCTGTTAGGAAAAAAGATGCATAATAGATTTCCATTCGGATATGCATTCTTCTCTGTTTTTTAGATACTCGTTCAAAAAATCACGGTGCTTGCCTTTAATTTGCACGACGGGAAAGTAAAGAGAAGTGAGGAGTTAAATGATATGCAGAAAAAAGAAGCCCTTAAGTAAGTACTGAATTTTGCTTTTAGCTTATTTTCATTTTTATCACTTTTTGAAGACCAATTTTAGATTGACCTCGTGTACAACTGCGCCATTCTTAAAGAAAACATTCCGATTTTTCATTATTTATTTCAGATCAGTACCTGATATATTGAGCTTTCTGAGTTACATGTTTCATTTTCAAGCAGTATTAACAGGACCAGCTTGCTTTTACACCGACTATATGGCATGGATTAATGGAACAGCGGCTATTGGTAAAGATGGGAAGGTTAGTAATGTTTAATTTTATTTTATGTTGAAAGTGGTAATGTTGATCATTCAATATATGCTAAGGTCAGAAATATTCAAAAAAAATAAATCTTGAATACTTGGTATCCATCTAGTAATTTATTTTAGATGAAAATATAATCACAGAGTGAAATAATGTCTGGAAATGAGAGTTCATTAACAAAAGCTATGTCCTAGTTCCATGCAGTAAAGCGACCTTTCATTTGATTTTTTATTTAACTGACTAAATTTTATTGCATGCTGCTGCAATCAAAGAATTTAGAGAAATAACATTTTAGATCAATTTATAACTTCTTAATTAATTTGTAGATTGAGAAGCCATGGCATGTAGTATTAATCAAATTATTGCAAGCAGGGGTGTTTATGTTATTATATGTTTTTTTTGGTGATCGTTTCACTCCTGACATTATCATTGATAAGAAATATATGAATCTGAATTGGATTCAGTGGATATTTGTATTGTACATTGTAATGGCATTTCAACGTGTGCCATATTATGTTGCGTGGACTTTAGGTTAGATTTCTTTGCTACACTTTTTTTTTTTTCTTATGGTATTTCTGTATGAATTGTAGGAGTCATTTCATCGAGTTTTTCATCAGTTTAATATTATCGCTGTCCTTTATGTTCCTTTACTACAGTGAAATTCCTCTCGTTTGATGAATAATGAAGGCTAAAAAAGAAAATTTTATTATTTTTGCTATTTAAAAATAGCTGTGGAAATTTTCAGCTGATGCAATATTTAATTTAAGTGGATTCGGGTTTAAAGGTTATGATTCAGACGGGAAACCTCAATGGGATTTAGTTTCCAACGTCAAGCCATGGAAAGTGGAGGTATCATTTTGATATTTCTTAGTTGTTGAACTACATATTCGTTGCATTGAGATTCTATCTAAAAACTAAGCTGTTAATAATTTCCAGACAGCGTTAAATTTCAAAGAAACATTAGAAGCATGGAATTGTTGTACGATGTACTGGCTGCGACGTGTTGCATATGATCGTGTTCCAAAAGGGTATGTATGCTTTTGTAACTATTCAGGAAAACTTTTCTTTGTTGTGTATTCATCATTGTACACTTTGCTAAAGTTTTTCAGGTATCGAACTTTATCGACGTATTTATTATCAGCAGTTTGGCATGGCTTCTTTTTGGGTTACTATGTCACTTTCTTGACTGGAGCTCTGTTCACTGTTTCTGCACGAACGGTATTTTCACATTTTAATTTCATGTTAGCATGCATACAATTCAAGTTAAACTTATGACAATATGATTACTGTTATAGATTAAACAGCAAAACTTAGTTTGAAAAAGTGGATGGACTGAAGAAAAATATTTATTGGAATTTTATACATGGGCCAGTATTCCATGTATTCAATGTTTTTCTTCTTTAAATTCAGATACGTCGTTGTTTACGTTGGCGTTTCCAAAGAAATGAATTTCTGCGACGTTCATATGACTTGCTTACATTGGTTGTAACCAAAATTGTTCTCTCGTATGCAACATTTCCGTTTGTTATGATGCATGTCGGTCCTGGTTTATATTTTTACAGGTATTATTTTGAATTTTTCAGTAAAATTTGGAAAATTACTAAATATCCTCTACTTTGATTTATGAACCTATAAAAACTTAAAGTACAAAACTAAAAGTAATTTAATCGTACTCATATTTTTTTGCATCTTGCACTGTTTGTTTACTAAAGTTCAATTTTCAGTCGCATGTATTTCTGCTTGCATATAATTGCTTTTCTTGCCTTGTTTGTCCTGCCACGAGTAATGCCTCCAGAATCAAAATCAGTTCAAAGCAAAAATGATTGTGATACAAAAAAATTAACATAATTGTTGAAGTTAGTATCTCGGCAACACTTTCTAGGAGTCTGCAAAATTTTCTGCATGGAATGTACTGTAATAAGAAATAATGACCATTATTTCAATAATATATAAGGTATTGTTTTTTTTTTTTTAATTAGTACCGGTGCTATGGTAAATTTCTGTTACAGAAACAAAATATAAATATTTTCAATATACTGTTTAATTTTATAATATTGTATTGTTCAGTTTGCAGCTCTCTTTTCCTAACTTTGTATTCTTTTACATAAAAATATACATTTGTGGTTTTTAACCATTCAATTTTCGCTGTTTTTCTTTTTTATTATTGAGCTCTCTGTGTGAATTCTTTGGTTCCTTCATTTGTTTTTTATGTTCGAGATTCGAGATTTGTTTTTCATATATTTCGTATCATTTGTTTTTCTCATATTGCAGGGAAAGCTTGTAGTTTTGCTTAAAATGTATTGCTGTTGATATAATTGTTTTTTATATGCTCAGTTTTCCTTTTTTCTTCCGTTTTATTAAATTTCATATCTAGTCTTCTCAGTTTCATTTTTTCTTCATAACAGGCGTGTATCGACTCATTTCTCAGATGTCTGACTTCCGCTTTATTTTTACTTAATTTTTTTCTTCAGCCAATACTAAATTTTTGTGGCACTGTATTCTTTCCTAAAATTTCTCTACTTTTGTGGTTGTTGGAGAGCCACTCATTTCAGTTCTTCTTGAATTTACAATGGCGCACAGATTTTCATTCGTTGTTTACATTTCAATGCTCTTAGTAGGATGCCATTCTTATTGTTTTGCTGTTTTTAGTTGTACCCTTTTCTTTGTTGTTTTATAGAAGATAAAATGAGAAAATTTCTTACAACAAGACCTTTCGCATCTTTTGATTTTTGTACCAATAGCGTTTAAGATGCAGCCGAAATTGGGGTTACTAGAAAAAGGGTACAATCCCTGATTTATAATGATCGAACTTCTAATTAATTTTAATATCAAAGATTTCCAGCGCCGTAACGTGGATAATATCCTTTTTTTTCATTCATTTTTTTTTCTTTTTCCTCGTGGTTAGAAATATTTAAGTGTTATACTTTTACACTTCATTTTTGACAGATTCATGATATACTAATAAAGTTACTGTTAATAAAAAATGAGCACTACTGGGATTTTATCTTGCTGTTTGGATGATGTCACCGTAAGCTCATTGCCAGTAATTCATTAATCATTAATAAGCATATCTCTTAGACCAATTTTTTTAGGATTTTCAAAACAGTCTGCTTCAGGCCGTATTTCTGTTTTATCCTTAAGTTTTGTCATAATGAATCCTAATTGTCCCTTGGAGAGATTACTTTCTATTATTTATTATTTCTTCTATTTTGGTTTATCTAATCTACCATATCTTTCAAAAAGCCTACTCACTGCCATTTTTAAATTATTCCTACTTATCTAACAATAGATATATCGTTGATTCAGATTGGCTGATCGGATTAACAGTTGATATTACCCTGTTTATTATTCAATTTACTGAATGTAGTGAATCATAATTTTGGTTATCTTGGTTAGCTTGTTCTTGGTTAGCTTGTTAATTACCTTCATCTTGGTTAGCTTGTTAATTACCTTCAGATACTTTTGATATTACCCTGTCTTGAGGTTATTATTCAATTTACTGAATGTAGTGAATCATAATTTTCAAGTTTGTGAGGTTATTTAGAGGAATTTTTTAATCTTGGTTAGCTTGTTAATTACCTTCAGATACTTTTGATATTACCCTGTCTTGAGGTTATTATTCAATTTACTGAATGTAGTGAATCATAATTTTCAAGTTTGTGAGGTTATTTAGAGGAATTTTTTGCACTCAGAACTTCAGTTATATTCATAATTTCTCTGTGAGACTAAGAACGGTATAATGACCATTGATTAGTCACAATGTATAATGTGATTATTTTGATATGGATGGGCATTTGCGTAGCTCTGTCTTTCTCTCTCTTTCACTGCAGGAAGTGGAATTTTCGGATTTTATATTAATAATATGAAATTTGGATGTGATATATGTCATAAAAACTACAAACGATAAGCTTGTACGATGAATAAGAATATCACTCTTTACTAAATATTCTGAAAATCTGATTTCCAATCTTATCCATTTTTCTGTAGTTATTACGAAATAATAAATAAATCATTTCCTTATGAATCTTTCAAAACATTATTCTATACATACATTTTCTCACATGTATCTATTGTTAGAGCTTTTTAATGTGCAAATATGTATAATTGGATTGTTCAAGTTGCTGAAATTAATAATTTCATTACATGTGTGAGTTCTTTGATTTGTCAGTAATAATTTTCATTTCAGAAATTGTCAGTAATTATTTAGTTTACTATTAATTAATAATGCCCGGTGTCCATACATTTTACGATGGTTCAATTCTCTTACAACCAGTAGCAAATTCATTAGGCATTGGAATTGATAAAGTAAGCATTGTTTCAATTTTAATTGTTTTTTATTTAGATTTTTTTATTAACGATCGTTATGGTTCGTTTTATTGTGTATTGTTGTTATTATAGTTTGTTTTTTTTTTCTTTTTTATTCATTATTGTAGATTTAAAATTTTAGGACTGCCCTATTTTTCTCTCTTCTTTAGCGTCTCAAAATTCCGATATTTGTAGTTTTACTTTCAGTAAGAGTGCTGAGTGGTAGTTAATTTATGTTCATTTTCCCCGTCATACGTTAACGATCCATTCAGCGTGAATTATCTTCTGTCAAATTATTTGTAGGGTAAAAGTTTACCTAATAATATTCTAAATCTCTAACTCAAAAATGAATATCTGCTTTCTTTTCTTTTTTCTCGACCATCATAATTATCGTTAAGCTGTTTCAGATTAACTTGGTGGTATGTCAGATTGTCTCGTTGATGCTCGCTTACTTACACTATAGCATCTTCAGTGCAACTAAAGTTTCACGAATGACACGTATTGCCTTTCCTGCTATTTGTGGATTATTGTTTTGTTATTTTTGTTACGGCAAGTGCGTTCCTATCATGTTTACCTTAATATTATAGAAAATTAGAATACTAATAAAACTTTTGATTTTTAGTGGACTTTTTGTGCATCAAAACCTACTTTGTATTTTAACTAACTTAACTCTCCATTTGAACTTTGAAACTAGTAAATACCATATATTCTGCTATTATGTATTTTTTACTTAGCTTCATAGTGCTTAATAGATTATCAGAGGAACACGTCTCTTACTATTAGCAGAACTGTAGATTACGGAGAGATGTGAATCATTCAAGTCAGCAATCCGGTTGCTTCGTCTAATCCATTGCTGGTAGGCTGTCGCTGATTCATCAATTGAAAGAAATGATTATTCTCTTTCAAATTAGTCTGTGGCTATCATCAAATTTGAGCTACTTTAGGAATGAAGGTTAGTTGTCCAAGGACATGATTGCCTCTTTCCAGTTCAAAATTCCGAGTGCTAAGTGATTGAATAATTATATGTTTTCAGTGCAATGAAACATTTGGTATTATTGGTTGGTCTGTCATATGCTATTATGCATTCTTCTCCTCCGGAAATTGTGCATAAGTAGGTTTATTTGTTATAAGTAAGGATAGTGGTATGACTGATTCAGTGTCAGTCACTTATGTAATGAAAAAATTTTTAGAAAAGACCGCACTACAAGCGATTGAGACTGGATTCTTCATACTTTTATCCTAACTTATAACTAGTAAAAATCACATAATACGTCTCGACATATCATGTGATTGAACTTTGACATATCTCTTTTTATATGTAAAACTGCAAAAAGCTTCAGCGGAGGGATACCAGAAAAAAAAAAACGAAGTTTTTTTAATTTGGGTTAATCATATGAAATTTAGGTTCATATCGCAGACCGTTTAAATAAGCGATCTTTTTTATATTCCATTTTTAGATGTGTATTTTTATTTTCTATGGGGTATCTCGTTTTCATACATTGGTATCGGTGGTATATACTAACAGCACCCGCTATTGATATTACGTGTCCTTTGATGGCAAGTTTCTTTTTCATCTTTCTTTTTTCTACTTCTCCGCAATTTATCAATCACTAACTATGATTATCTTTAGTAGCATGTATTATTCTAGCAAATAAGAGCACTTTATTTCTACTATTTTATCATCGCTTAAATCATAAGTCTATTATTTAGCTTTAGCCTTATTTTTTTTATTTTATTAATCAGCTGTTGTCGACTTAGTTAAATTTTTAAACGATGTTTCTCTTTATACCTGTTTCCTCTTCATAGTAAGTAGTTCTTATCCTTTATATATATGATGTTTACACTTTAGAAGGTTTTTCTTAAATTTTTCTTCTAGAATAATGCTTAGGATTGGAAGTTTAGTGGCAAATGATTTCGAGGAACACGGTGTAATACTTCTCATTTTTTCTTTCTTTTTTTTTAGATTATGGTTCAAAAAGTGACAATGCTTGCGTTTTCATTACATGATGGTAAAGTGAAAAAAATTGATGAGCTAAATGAAATACAAAAGAGAGAAGCCATCAAGTAAGTAACTCCTTTAGATTTTACTATGTTCTAACCTAGCCTATTCTTTTGATTTTCCAGTGCTGTTGGATCTTATTTTATTAAAAATTAACACCTACAAGTTAAAAGTCGGATTAAAGATCAGCTTGTTAATAATAACACATTAATAATAATAATAATAATAAATAATGACAAAAATAATAATTAATAATAAAAAATAATAATAATAATAATAATAGTAACGATAAATAATGCAACAGTAAGATATTGAGTCCGCATTCTTCAATACTGTTAAAGTGAATTTCAGATCAGTACCTGATATATTGAGCTTTCTGAGTTACATGTTTCATTTTCAAGCAGTATTAACAGGACCAGCTTGCTTTTACACCGACTATATGGCATGGATTAATGGAACAGCGGCTATTGGTAAAGATGGGAAGGTTAGTAATGTTTAATTTTATTTTATGTTGAAAGTGGTAATGTTGATCATTCAATATATGCTAAGGTCAGAAATATTCAAAAAAAATAAGTCTTGAATACTTGGTATCCATCTAGTAATTTATTTTAGATGAAAATATAATCACAGAGTGAAATAATGTCTGGAAATGAGAGTTCATTAACAAAAGCTATGTCCTAGTTCCATGCAGTAAAGCGACCTTTCATTTGATTTTTTATTTAACTGACTAAATTTTATTGCATGCTGCTGCAATCAAAGAATTTAGAGAAATAACATTTTAGATCAATTTATAACTTCTTAATTAATTTGTAGATTGAGAAGCCATGGCATGTAGTATTAATCAAATTATTGCAAGCAGGGGTGTTTATGTTATTATATGTTTTTTTTTGGTGATCGTTTCACTCCTGACATTATCATTGATAAGAAATATATGAATCTGAATTGGATTCAGTGGATATTTGTATTGTACATTGTAATGGCATTTCAACGTGTGCCATATTATGTTGCGTGGACTTTAGGTTAGATTTCTTTGCTACACTTTTTTTTTTTTTCTTATGGTATTTCTGTATGAATTGTAGGAGTCATTTCATCGAGTTTTTCATCAGTTTAATATTATCGCTGTCCTTTATGTTCCTTTACTACAGTGAAATTCCTCTCGTTTGATGAATAATGAAGGCTAAAAAAGAAAATTTTATTATTTTTGCTATTTAAAAATAGCTATGGAAATTTTCAGCTGATGCAATATTTAATTTAAGTGGATTCGGGTTTAAAGGTTATGATTCAGACGGGAAACCTCAATGGGATTTAGTTTCCAACGTCAAGCCATGGAAAGTGGAGGTATCATTTTGATATTTCTTAGTTGTTGAACTACATATTCGTTGCATTGAGATTCTATCTAAAAACTAAGCTGTTAATAATTTCCAGACAGCGTTAAATTTCAAAGAAACATTAGAAGCATGGAATTGTTGTACGATGTACTGGCTGCGACGTGTTGCATATGATCGTGTTCCAAAAGGGTATGTATGCTTTTTGTAACTATTCAGGAAAACTTTTCTTTGTTGTGTATTCATCATTGTACACTTTGCTAAAGTTTTTCAGGTATCGAACTTTATCGACGTATTTATTATCAGCAGTTTGGCATGGCTTCTTTTTGGGTTACTATGTCACTTTCTTGACTGGAGCTCTGTTCACTGTTTCTGCACGAACGGTATTTTCACATTTTAATTTCATGTTAGCATGCATACAATTCAAGTTAAACTTATGACAATATGATTACTGTTATAGATTAAACAGCAAAACTTAGTTTGAAAAAGTGGATGGACTGAAGAAAAATATTTATTGGAATTTTATACATGGGCCAGTATTCCATGTATTCAATGTTTTTCTTCTTTAAATTCAGATACGTCGTTGTTTACGTTGGCGTTTCCAAAGAAATGAATTTCTGCGACGTTCATATGACTTGCTTACGTTTGCTATCACAAAGATCACTTTATCTTATACAACATATCCATTTGTCATGTTGCATCTTGGACCCGGTCTATACTTTTACAGGTATTGAAGGATTTTGACTTAAAAAAAATTTTTTTTCAACACACTGCATGGTTCTTGCTTAGAAATTTGCTCACTGTGAGTTTGTTCACTAGGGAGCTCTTTCGTTACTTCATATCTCAGTGCATTAAAGCCTTTGTTTTATAAGCTTTTATGAGTAAACAACAGTTATGGTTGTTATCCAAACTAATTGATTTTACACTATTTGATGTATTAATCTATTTCATCAATTGGTTTTTAGTAGGATACATTAAATAATTATCGTGAGGGATGAAATAAGAAGAAATTTTTGAAGTAATCTTTAATCAGTGATTTTATAATTTTCAACCGTTCGTATTTCGCTTCTCTCAAATTGACAGTGATTATCATTCCTACATTTGTGGGATGGAACAGCTTATCATTTCACAATTATATTTTTTATAAAGAAGCTGATTTTTTTTATAGGCAGATGTATTTTTTTCTGCACTTCACTGCACTTTTTGCTCTATTTATCTTGCCTCGAATATTACCTCCAGAATTGAAATCAATTCAAACTGAAAATGTTGACGATATGAAGAAATCATCGTGATTAGATCTGTCATGCGCTCATTATGCACCTTCCTCCGTCGTATCTTTTATGGATGTAACACATTTAATATATCTGTTTAAATTGTGTTTAAATTTGAGTATTAAGCAGTAGTACTATATTAAAAATATAAACTTTGGTTTTTGCACTACTTTTATTTCACTGTTACAACTTAATTTTTGCTGTAGTTCATTATATATTGCAGTGGTTATTTTACCTATAATTCAGTTGAATTTTCATATTCATATTTTCAAAAATACCTTGTCGTTATTGTCATTCCAGTTATCATTTTCTATTGATTAGTGGTTTTTGAGTAGAAAATTTCTTTCAATTTTTAAAATGTATGTTTATTTGTGCTTGGTAAATTTCTCTTTTTCATTTCAGATCTCTGTATTCTCAGTATTTCGTTTAGAGTGATAATGCATTTACGGTATTTGTCAACGAAATCTGAAATCATTTTTCTCTTTTCAAATTTAATACACCTCTGTCATTTTTATAGGTTGTAATATGCTTAGATTTACCACGTATAGTCCGAGTGTATCAATTTGCAACTGGTTGCAGGAAGAATTGCATAGATTAAGTACTGTAATGAATCGAGCGGTACTTACCCCTTCTAAATATTTGTAAAAAGTCTGATTTATGGCGAAAAACTGTCAGGAAGCTATGTTGAGATTCGTTTCGTTTTGAAAGTCGGTGTTGTGTTTTATTAGAGATTACTATTAGAGATAAATGTAAACTATTTTTTCGATCGTCTTTTGTGAGACTTTGAAGTTCCAATAGCAAGTTAATCTTTCTATTACATATACTCGAGATTTTAGAAGGCTTGAAAAGAGACGAGATGTTACTGCTTAATATCAATACCATTAAGTTCCTTTGTCATATTTCATTTCACCGTTCAAAAAGACTACAAAGTCTTATCTTTCCATTGTTTATCTACTGTGTTCGCTTCTACAATATGGTACGTGAAGACCAATTTGCTATTTTGTTTCTTTTTTATTTTATTTTGTAAGATTGATTTTATGTCTGAAAATTCTTCGTGATTTTTACAAGTATCACTTTTTAAATTTTACAAGCATGTATTGTTTCATTATGATCTTTGAGCAATATATAGCTCAAGTGATAATGAGCATATCTTCATTATTTTCTCGACTGGTGAAAGATTTGTCAAATGGTATTATTGCCGTAAATATAAAAATTAAACAGAGTTAAAGTAAGAAATCGATGAAAACAAAAGAAACAATACCAGCATATCGTTAGTGTTGTTCAATTTCTTATATATTCGTAAGATATTGCCTCGGCTTTGTATACTCACTACTTTAATTGCACAATGAATTCCATAATTAGGTGTCTCTTACTGAATTTAGAAAAAATATTAAAGATTTAATAAGCTTCTTTTTTTTTGTATGTGTGTGTGTGTGTGTGTGGATCTCATACAAATGGTGAGCACGATTTGCTTCCAAGCTTAGAAGAAGCGATGCAAAAATGATTCATATGAAATTCAAATAAACATTATGTCATAATGTTTATTCAGTGAAAGGAAAACTTCATATGAAACTACCACATTAAAAATCATGAAAATGAATTAGTGAGTAATGATTCAACGAGTTCTACACTTCTTAACATTTTCGTCTTAGCGTAAAATACATATTGTCCGTTCTTCAAAGCAGACTTTTTAAATTTAAAATATACATTTCTGCATAGAGCTATTAGCTATAAACTATACAGGAACAGTTTGCTAGAAACAGGTTTGTTTAAGAATTGTATGTATGTTTACATTTATGATGAAACAAAAGCATTAAGCAAAGAGTAATTTTCGTATTTCTCATTAAATGACATTCATTTATTATTGTTACTAATGAAGGGACGAAATGATGGAGGTAAATTAAGGACAAGAAAGGGATAGATGAACGGGAAGGTGGAACAGCATCGAATTTTACCCACTGAAAAGTCATTCTAATTAATGCAAAAATATAGTGTTTGAGTTTTTAGAGATACATTTAGAAAATTTCTAATCAGAAAATTGCTCTGATCGGAAAAGGTAGGAGTCTTTTTTATGTTAGGAAAATAAAGAAAATAATTACGGAATAATTTGAATGGTACACTTTGCAATTATCAACAAACAACTGTCGTTTAATTCTCAACGATTCTTCAACTTATGAGTAACTTCTTGAGTGCGCTATATTACGGGCCTAACAAAATAATGTTATGACTTTTTTAGCATTAATTTTAGTTCATAAAAACTTATATGCGACAAACAGGTGTGACCGCGTTTTATTCGTTTGAATTGGACCTTGTTAACAACTGAATTTTATGACTTTTGTAAAAGATTTTCATTTTTAATTCACATAGTATAGTTGAATAACAATTCAACTACTTTCCTTACTTTTTACCTTAAATTAAAGTGAAATGCAATGTATTTCAAGATTCTGAGAGGATTGTTTTCTTTATTGCAACCTTATTCGGTCGTTTTAGGGCAAATTTCTGAAACAATTTTAAAAATGCAATGTGAGCCATAACTGTACTACAAAAAATGTAACAAGGTAAAAGATTTTCATTTTTAATTCACATAGTATAGATTTGAGCATTGGATTGATTTATCTTCGAGTACCGTCCTCGAAAAAGACACCACCGTCGATGGCGCAGTATTTCGGGCAGATACCTTTTTCACCGGGAGCACCAGGTTCTCCTGGTTCTCCTGGTGCTCCAGGTTGGCCGTCGGCACCGGGTTGTCCGGGTGGTCCTGGTGGTCCTTTCGGTCCAGCCGGTCCCGGCGGTCCATCAGCACCTGGTTGTCCCGGTGGGCCTTGTGGCCCAGGTGGTCCTATATCGCCTGAAATATTTGTGTAAGCTTCAAGATTTCATTCCACACATTTGATAAACCATAATTCCCTTCACTATGGCTGCACTACTACTTTTTTTCTACAATTTTAAAATTTACCTGGTGGTCCAGGTTCTCCTGGAATGATGCCTTCGTTTGGCGCATCCTCTCCTGGTGGACCCGGTGGTCCTTGTGGCCCAGGTTCTCCAGGCAGTCCTGGTGGTCCTTTTGGCCCTGCTGGACCCGGTGCTCCGGCTCCACCTCCCAGGCCTGGTGCTCCGTCTGGTCCTGCATCTCCAGGTGGTCCTGGTGGTCCAGGAGGCCCTGGTGGACCAGGTGGGCATGGCTGACACGGTGGTGGTGTAACTGGTTCACACGGTTGGCTTGGTGGTCTTCCTGGATTTCCAGGCATTCCTGGTATACCGGGCCTACAATGAATGGTAGTTGAAGTCAAAATCGAGTCAAATCGAATAATATTTAGTTGCAGAAAAAAAAAAACGAACTTAATAGATAAATTCTAAGTTACCTTCCAGGTTTTCCAGGTCTACCTGGTGTGCCTTTTGGGCCTGGTGGACCTGGTAAGCAGCAACTTTCGCAGCCAGAAGCTCCTTCTTGAGTAGCTCCTTCACCAGCGTTTACACCTATACTAGAGCTGTACCCTGCTTGCCTAGCAGTACGATTTTTATTAATCGGCATTTGCTTCAAATGACCCACTTCCATCCAAATATCCTTTGCTGAGCCCTACAAATTAATAACTACTAGTAATGATGTGCATAATATCAGGCCAAGAAGTTTATCAACAAATCATACAAACTTTGTAATGCAAGCCATTTTACTTTTTGTTTCAAGTTCTTCTACCTTATCACCAAACTTGTCTTACTATTATTCCTGAGAAAGAAATAATTCTATTAGCTATCAAACGATATAATCCAAACAATCATAAAATATTAGGTTAGTTTTTCGCTAGTAAATTTACTGAAAATGACAAATAGCTCACATACGGCATCTTCATAAATTAAACATACTTCATTCTTAATAAAAATACAAATTTATTCATCTCTGAAATTCCATCTCTGAAAAGGAAATAAATTATTTGACATGAGTTTCTTCTCCTTTATTCTCTCTCTCTTCTCTCCGATATACTTTCTTATCCATTAACTTTTTAATTCCTCAAACCCTGATAGCCCACTTCAAGCTAAATTTATTGTAGAAGTGTAACCAATCAGGTGAAGCATCAGATACACAGAAATATTTGCTATTTCATAAAAAATTGCTTATTACTCAAGTACATTCTCCGTAATCAGTACCCATCAAATAAACTTTGTTGATATTTTGTCGTATTGTGTTGTTGTTGTCTTCTTCTTTTTGAGAAATGTTATTTCAGAAGAAATATTTGATTCTACCATATTTTTAAAAACAAAATTTGTTCGTCGAAAAGCACTTACTACCTACATCATTAATAATGATGATAGCAAAATTAAAAAATAAGATAATTGTTGATAATAATCGATGTAAATTCTATGATAAGGCAATTTTTTAGCGTATGCAATTATTCTTTTGAAAGAGTTTATTCATATTTTCTTGTCCTACTATGAAATATATTAGAGTTGTTCAAATCAAAATATTCTATTCATGTTTCATCATGCTTCATCAAATAATTTTCTGCAGTTTTCTGCAAAAATATTGCTATTACAAAGATCGTTGATTTTTTGTTCAACAAATCAAAATGTTACATATAATGTTAAAATTAATGCTTTAATTATAAAAGTAGAAATAATCAACAATCGACGAAGCTAAAAATTAGTCAAATTGTGAATAAGCTTCTGCACTCTTCCAAGTACCAAACTAATTCTCATACTTCTGTTAATAGGATGCTAATTATTTGTTATTATATGCTAAGCTAACTTTTAATGCTCTAATCTAATATTAATTATTTATTAATTACTTATTAAATGTAATGTGCAGCATAAATTTTTATTATCTCAGATATGCTTACCTTGCAGTAATTAATTTCGGAACGCATTTGTCGTCGAACATGATAGACATAATTGTATACCATTGGTAATGTTACGCATACTGATAGTACAGCAACAGTAGAAAATGTTACCGCAGCATAAGAGACAAATTTGTAAGCCTTTATACGATTATCGAGATCCATTCTCGATTATCGAGATCCAATAGTTAGCAAAATTCTTCTCTTGATTTACTATTATTACTACTACTATTACTACTAACTACTACTATTGATGTTGTTGTTGCTACACGTAATGACACTGAATGACATTCATACAATCTTGTCAACTATTTATAGAGAATTTTTTTCTTTTAATGTTGTGATACGTCGGTTTCTGACAGGATCGTATAAAACGGAACAAAGGTGAAGAACTGGGCGGAGTTGCAATACAGGTTTATTGCGCCTTAGAGAGAAGGACATTTATTCATGTTTTTTTTTATATGTATATATATCTTTTATTAGTAAAGAAAAAAGTTCTTTTTTTCAAATGTTTTTGTTTCCTATATTTTTTTCTTTCCTTTTCTGCTTTTTGCAGAGAAATAAAAATTTTACAAAGCAGTGAATAGGATCTCTGCGAACGCATCACAAACCATATAACATTAATAGGAAGAAAGGGAAAAGATGTTGTCAGCAAAAAATACAAATGTAATTTTACGGTTTTATTCATTTTTCTTCTTTCATTATTAAAATTTGTTAAGTTTTTTTTTCATCATATTTAATTTACGTAATTGAAATTTAGCACTTCATTTTCTTTAATAATTTAAATTAGTGTCTTTTTTTATCGATTAATATAAGAGGTCAAATTTGAACACTAATACTTTAAACTTTAAAAAATATTTCTTCCTTTTAGCTTTCTGTTGTGGTTAATATTTAGCTAATGAATTTTAAATTAAGCAAAACAGGCATTTGCTCATTGTAAAGCACTTTTCATCACTTATTATCTTAATATTTTCACGCAGCATTTCAAATGAAATTAATTTTTGAAGCAATCAAACAAATTTTTAAACTATTTTTTTTTTTTTTTTGTCAACGAATCTAAATTTTAAGCTATCATTGAAAAAGCCGTAGAAATATGAAATTTTTTTTTGTAAAATCAATAATTCAAATGAACCCATTCGAAGGCGAATTTAATTGAAAAGAAGGTGATAATTACCTCACAACAGAATGATAATTATGACTATAACTCTTTTCATCTGTTTGATTATACATCGTGATGCGGAACGTTCAGGGAATTTATTTTACAAAATTTTGTAACTGAATTTTAGAATATGTTAATAACCCACTTTAAATTTCTTACTTTATTGTTTTATCGTCAAGAATGCATTAATTTGAATATTTCTATTTTTTTTTTTTTTTTGTCCATTTATGATTTCTATTACTTTTTGCTTCCCGCATTTCGGATAAGCACTATATTTGAGAAGTGGACAATTGCGCAGCATTTGCGTAAGCTCCATCATTCTGTCTTGGAACAGATTTCAATTGTTGAATGATTTTCAAGAAAACTAATTCACTTTTTTTTTTCTATTGCCAGGTTTTCTCATAGAAAACATTTCCTCGCATTCGATTTATTTATTTATATATATATATTTTTTTTCATTTATTGTTATCCAAAAGAAACGAAAAATTGCAACAATTAGAAAATATTACTAATAACTATATAAATCTGTAAATAAACTTTGAACATTTATTTGCTGAAATATATTTTCAAATTTCTTTACTTTTATCTCAATTGTGTTTTAGTATAGGTCATAAAGTTCAATCTTCTGAAACATAAAATAAGTAGTATTTAATGATTTATAAAACTGTTATTAAGGCTGTTTGAAATATCAAATGATTTACAAATTTCGAACAATTTGTAAAAGTTTTAAATGTGCGGAAAACATGTCCCAATAATTCACCAACATCATTTCATGACATATACACACATACCACATACACAATATCCGTAATATTGGCTGTAACTTCGTAAATTAGGGCAAAATGTTGAAACTTAGAAATATTGATTATTGAATAAAGAAAAATCAGTCAAAGTGCAATTTATGGAAGAAATTTGTTTTGAATTTTTTTAGGATATAAATTTTGGAAAAAAACTTCGCAATATGAATAGATATTTTTTATGCCATGCCAAATAAATATTGTCAACAAAACAGCTCAACACTGTTCGTTTCAAATTACTATTATCTACCGTAATAGAAATGACTACAAAAAAAAAAAGAAAAAAAAAAGAAACGTTTATTTCCTTAATCATCAAATTTCATTTATTCTTAAAAAAAAAAATCAAATTTCATTTATTCTTATTGTTAATTCTCTAAGTATGTCTGTAAATTACAATTAAGTCTTAACTTTGCGTCGCAATAGCAAAATGTTACATTTAACTTTGCAAATTTTGCTTCAAAAAATTTAACCCGATAATCTTTTGGAATTTTATTATTTTGTAATTCAAATTATACCACTCTATTTACAATTTTTTGTTTTACAATACAATATAATGGCCATTCTCAAAATATAATAATTTTCCACTTTACAAATTTAGGAAAGATACGTCATACACAGTTATTACTTTTCGTTCGTTTTTTAACTTACACTCTTTTCTGATGTTTAATGTTCTTCTATTACAATAAAATAAATAAAAAAAGCAAACTTCTCACAATATTACAACTTTAGACAGTACACTCATTTGTCGTGTTGTACTGATATTACTATCGAAATTGTTTAGAGTTTGTCAGGTGACTTCTGTTTTTATTTAACAAAAATTCAAAAATCAAGAAAAAAGTTTGAAAATTTTCATGAAGACTTTTTAAAACATTAAATCCACTTATTACGGCCTTTTCTCTTATTTTTTTTTTTTTTTTTTGGTGATTTTTATGAGTATTTGAGAGAACGATGTTTTTGATGCAATTGTATAAACTCTTTTCATTAACAAAGTGTTTTAAATAATGTTTTTGAAATTGGATGTTCGAGTACCGAAACAATGTCTAATCTCAATTAGTCAATACGAAGTACAGAAAGTGTGAATGATAGCAAAATATAAAAAAGGGACTATTACTATCAATGTTGCACTTCATTTCATACTTCAAAAATGATAATTTTAAATATATTTCTCCTTCATTACGATTCTTAAACTCGAGATGTATTGCTGCTTTTAGTGCAAAAATCATTTCATAAGATGTCTGATATATTGAGTGATTTTTTTTTGAGAAACTTTTTTCTACTACAAATCAAAATTCCATTCTTTGAGATATGGAATTATAATAATCTAAGAGGTTTATAAATTATTATATTAAATTCTATCCAATATTTTCCGAAAAGTTCAATATGACAAATTGTTTCCCTCCAGTTGTCCTTGTCTGAATTATTTGTATTCAGTAATCATTTGACACTATTGTGCCGAAAAAACCGGAACAATTTTATAATATAAATATATTGCTATAACAAAGATATTTCGAAATGGTTTAAGTAAGAATGCAAATATTTGAAGAAAAGATAAGAAATCATAAATGTAACTTGAAAAGTTATAAATAATATAAAGAATCTCTATCATTTTTTCTCTCAATTTTGATTGAAATGGAGTAACTATATGCTTTAATCAAATCCTTAATCTCAAACAATACCTGGCAATTAATTCTAATATCGATATTCTCTGATTGTTGTTCTATAACATCTACAAAGGATAAATCTTTCTGTAATTATTTGTCTATTTTCAAACAACACAAAAAAGTATTCTCTCAAGTTATTGGTACAAAAATTTAATTACAAATGTTTTCACTTTTTTTTTTCTCCATTATACAACCTCAATTATTTTCACGTTAAAATAAAATGAAAAAAAAAAAAAAGTTTATTATGCAATAAACATCTAAAGCTCTGTACGCAAATCACAAGTGATACATTAAAGTTTCTTCTTTTCAAATTGCTCGAATTACTGTTATTTAGGAGATTTAAACTAAACTTTTTTTGTACTTGGTATTGATAATTATTTAACAATAAAAAAGAAAAAGTGGAACTGGTTTTTTCCTCAGCGATAATTTTCCCTTCCTCTTTAAAAAACAAAAACCAGAATTTTTATAGGGAGCAAGAAGTACAGACGAACGTCTTCTCATTACTGGTCTTCAACAAATCGGAATGATTTGTGAATAAAGAGGTAAATAGAAATGGTTCGTTTTCACGTACGGCGCAGGTGTTGTTACAATAATTTAATTGCGAAATTCAATAATACAATGAATGATTTGATATTATTCTCTTTGTGAAGAAAGAAAAAGATTGAGTGAATTAGTAATTAAAAAATGTTTGTTCTCTTTCTCCACAGATTCATGATTCAAATTACTATGTCATTGCAATAATGAGAAAAAAAAAGAAGGAAGACAAAGTTAAGAAGAAAAAGTACGGAAAACTGATCGACCCATTTCCATGATTTGCATATCTATTATCTAATTTATCGAAAAATCAAGATGAAAGAGATACAAAAATTTCTTATTAGAAAAGAAAATTCAAATGTTTTAGAGTTTCTTTTTTTTTTTTGATTCTTTCTATTTTTATCAAAACTAACGACTTATGCTTTTTTTAAAATAGTTATTCAGCAAATATCATCAACAAGACGCTTGTAGTGTGCGTTATAATTCAAAAATTATTTAAATTAAACATTTCAACTCACCAAATTCCTTAAATATTTTGGATTAGAGGAATCTAAACTGCGAGTTACAAAACATAACCAAATATTTTTCATAGTCAGTCATGGACTATATTAAGACAGCTGCTGAACTGAATAAGTGCAAATCAAAAATCTATTTTTTCAGGAGGAAACCGTTCATTTTAATTGATAATTTCAAACATTATCAGATCTTATCTAATATTTTAGCTTGCAGAATATTGAAAAAAGAATGGATTAAGCCTTTTGAAAGAAAACCAGAATTATCAAAATTCCAAGAGAATGTTTTTATTTTAAAACTTTTCTTTAACAAGGGTCGAAAGTACAGAATTCATTGGACAAAATGATTGAGAAATTAAGAATATGAGCGATGTTCAACATCCACAGAAATACTAAAAAATACAAACTTGATTTTTCCCTTATTAACTCAATGTTAAAGTAAATCAATTAATTATAGAACTTATGACTAGTTATGTTTACAAAAATTATAACACTAATATCTTTATATTTTCTAATTTCTTTTCGAAATATTTATCTTAAAAAATGTATTTATAATTTGTGGAAGAATCAAACTGTTATGAGATATTTGCAATATTTATTCCATGTAATAAGTTTAGCTTAAGGTGTTGTGATTATTCTAATGTCAACATAAGATTGTTAATTTTGATTGGGGATCCATGAAAATTTGGGAATGTTTTTTATCTACGGGATTTCATTAGATTTTTCACATATATATTTAAATAACATTAGCTCCTAATCTAGTAATTATAACCTTCGACCTTCAAACTTTCAATGATATAATTTTTTTTTTGATGAACCAAAAAAAAAGTATACTTATAATTATCTATTACGTATTAAGCAAAACCATACTGAGTGAACAATATTCGATAAAGTGGCTAACAGCGCCAAGAATGTGGTCGCAATACTAGTTAATACAAATATGCCGTGATCATGCGACGAAGCCGAAGTAGTATAAATAACAATTGGCAAGATGCGAAATACTGTTAGGAGTATATTCAGGAAGAGATGAAAGGCGCATTTGCGCTCGTGGTGCCATATCGCAAGAGGCTAAAATTTAAATTTAATGAGCACGAACTATAGGTAATTAACACTGTTAGTAATATTCTTCTCAGACAATTTATTACTGATTGAAAAAGATTTTTTGAGTCTTACCGGTAGAATAATAATAAGAAGAACTTCAACAATTTTATCGGTATCTGCGCTCATTATTCCTTAGGTGTATTGATTACTGGTGATGTAGAGCAGTGATTGTTGATATTATTCCTGCTGGATTTGTTTAAATTCTGAATAAAACTTTAGAAAGAAGCAAAAACGTTTTATCCGATGTGTTATATTTGCCTTATTTATTGATGCTCTTATCGATATGAATAAATTAAAAATGCAATCACGCGTAATAAATATAAAATTACAATTATAAATTAAAACGTATGCTAAATCGACAATACAATTTACTAAATTGATTTCCTTCCCAATCAAGAGTGTATAATATACAAATTGTACTAGTTTTATGAGAATCTCATACTTGGCAAGTTGAATAAGATATATCAGTTAGTAAACCAAGGAAATGTTAACATAATTGGAAAGAAAACAAATATAAAATGAGCAAAACTTTGCTCGTGCAAAAAAGTTGACTTACAATACGAAAGTTACCATAAAAAAATAAGAGGATTGGAGCAGATTAATTATAAATGAATAAATAGCAGACTGTTGACTGAAGCCATTAAATTCATTGCATATTGAAATTCATAGCAAATTGTGCTCAAAAAAAAGGAAAAAAAATAAACATTATAGGTTGATCATCGAAAAGAATGAATAAATATTGCATACAATTGAATTCAACACTGGTAACTGTAAAAGTAGATTATATCAAGCGAACAAAGATCATTTGTAGAATCGATGTATGCAATAAAATTTTTTTCTCAAATAAAAATTTGTTAAAGTGAGTTTTGTCCACTTATATTGAATCAGATTTTATTGAAAAAATAAGCATTGTGCTTTCATTCGCAAACATTGGAAGAGCGAAAATAATAATGAAATAAGATAATAAAAATGGCTTAAAGAGAAATGATGTAGAAAAACCATTGTTAGAATTGTTTATGAATAAAAAAAAAAAGAAAACAATCTGTTATCAAAATATTATTATTGTCACATTTAATCACAAATTGCTTTATCGTATCGTATTTACAGTAATTGTACCATACATCAGAGCAATGAAATACAAAAGATGAAATGGGTTTTAGATAGAAGTTGGAATTGAAGGATCATATTGGAAGAAAAAGCAATGCTGATAATATTACATTCCTCGGCATAATCTTCTTGTAATATGGAGGAAGTAGACAAACATATGATTAGATAATTATCATGAGAGAATACAATTTTCACTTTGCTATGGAAACGACGAAACTTCGCCAATTCATACTTGAATTTTGATCTTTCCTTCTCTTTGACTATTGCAGTCATGTAATTACTAGAAGTTTTTTTTTTTTTTTAATTTATGGTCTTTTTTTATATGAATATCAGATGGTTATGTAGGATTTCCCAATTTAATATACATTTATTCATATTTGATATGTATGTTTTAAAGTCATAAATCGTTAAGTCATTAAATCTTTGCAGGTAAAATTGTGGGAATTGCATTATTCATTGTTTGTATCATATTAACAAACTGTGATGCGAAATTATTAAGTTCAAAAAATGTAACTTTACGGATCATAGAAAGATGTTTACTTGACTAATGAAATGCTTTAGAGCATATGAACTGTGATTCTTGAAGCGGAAATTCAATTTAATGCATCTTCTTTAGAAGCTGTGAAGTATTAATACCATCAACAAAATTTGCACGATTTTTTTCTAAAAAATTATAAAATTTCAGTGATACTTGAGCTTAACCGTTAACCAAGACTGGATAAAGAAAGGGATAGATTAATATAGATATTCAAAAATTATTTGTCTCTTTAATGGGTGCCAATTTGCGCCGAGCTTCTATAAAATGATCTATTTCCTATCTTTTTTCTCTTGTTTAATTTTAAAGTTACAGGTCAGTTTACTTTATGAACAAAGGATGTTAACAGTAGCTAATATATTAACAATATGTTAAACTTGTAGTAGCGAATTAAAAATGTGTACGTAAATATATGACTATTGCGAACAGTTCACAAGTATTGTTGGAAGATAATAACTCTTCCAAAATAGGTATTATAATTTCAAGGAAATGATACTACAATTTTTTTTGAAATTGAAATATTGTAATTTCAAAAAAAAAGTTTCAAAAATGATATTGTAACTTTAAAAATATTTCCGATCGGACGGAAGCTGGATCGACAATAATGAGTCAATGCGGTGCTTGCTGTTTACGACAGCAGTTATGATAGTGTCATGCGATGAGTCATTATGTTTTTATAAATTATTTCCTCCCATTTCTTGAAATTGTTATTTTTTGTAATTCATTGAAAAGGTATGATTTATCGTTCTTCTCTTTCGCTCTCATTTTGCTTCTTTCATTTATGTTTATCTATTTGTTATGCACTGAGGTAATTTCATTACTGCATTGAAATGATTTCCATTCATGATTCCTCTATTCTCGTTCACGTATTTATCTGAAATTACAAAATTTGCCCACAGTCGAAAATTTTATCAATTATAATCTATCCGACTGGCTGGTAAAAAGAAAAACCATTTGTTGCTAGCCAAAATTTCGAAGTGAAGGAGCAGATCAGAATAAATTATTTCAAAGCCGTCTTGAATATAACTTTTTGCAAAAAATTTCTTTTGTCGATATTTTGATTTATAATTCATTTTACGCATATTCTTTTACTATATCATTTTTTTTTTTTTTTTTTTTTGTATCGGAAATTTCATTCAATTTCATTCAAAAATGATATAAGTTCAAAAAACATTTCTGGTCGAATAAAAGATGGATCGATAATAATAAATGAGTCAACGAAGTGCTTGCTATAGCGACAGCAGTTATGATAATGTCAGTGATTTGAGATTGCTCATCAATTAAATCTAGTCAATCTTGATCACATAAAATTCATAATTCATTCTTGTCTTTTTTCGGTATCTAATATTGTAATAATATCATAAATTCTAAATTTTATGATAGATCAAACAAATTTTATTAGGCAATTTATAACAAGGTAATTGTTTTACTGATAACTGTTCTTGATTTGGGTAAACTATGTGAAATAATCGATAAAAAGTATGCTAAAAAAAGTATATAGATGTCTCAATATTCATTCAAAAACGAATCTGAAAACTTTTCTTCAATGCACAGCAGAACAGAATAAATCACTGCAAAAGATGAATCGTTGCTCTAATTTGACCTTTGTTAACTGAACTGAAAATTCAGTTCAATACAGTTCAAATTTCATTCTTAATTGCTGCAAGAATGTGTTTTATAGCATACTGAAAAGTATCGTTGTGATTCGGCTTTATGAATCTTCAAGTTAACTTAGATTTCTATTGATGGTAAAAGTAATTTAAAACACAATATGTTGTCATCATTAGATTTCGGTGCAGCTGACGAACTTTATAAAAATTTAAATACAAAATTCTGCAGAAAATACGATTCAATAAAGCAAAAATTTGGATATCATGAAATCGAACTTTGGAAAGGATTAGATTTTAGTAAATCGACGGACAAATAAGCAAAGAACCTGGAAAAATATCTTTTATGTTTTATGACGAATCTAAAAATTATTGGTTAGAAAATAATTTTTAAAATATCCAAATTTTGATGTCAATACAATTCAAAAAAATATTGGCTTATAATTAAACGAAGGAATAAGAGCAAGCTAGATTAATAGCTTTGATAGTCCCAAGACTAAAAGAAGCATTTGTGTTCCATAATCGATTTTAGAGAGTCACACAAATATTTCCAGAATTACTCACAAATATTTTACTATGCGTACTCGTCGTCCTTTACTATTCTCCAATGTTCCACAACTTTTCATTTCTTTTGCTCAATATATTGTGAAACAAGTTTTTTTTGTAGAAATTAATCAATCTTTTTCAGACTTTTTGGAAATTTGGAAATTTTTAAGAATTGGAACTTCTTTTCTTAACATTTCCAATTTATAAACCATTTAGATATTATCGAAGTGAGATTTCGAAAGCAAAATAGTGTGTAATTACGAATGATAAAGAAGAGTTAATGCTAAGTGTTACAGTCAATTTTTTTCTATTAGGCATTTAATTTTGAGCAGTTAATATCAGTAATTACTTTTAGCAGTAAGAAATACAATCTTTTGATTATCTTTCGTCACAAATGTAGTGCTACAAAAAAGTTTGTTAATTTTTATCCAAATCTTTGATTTTTTCTTTAATTTTATTAATCTTTTTTTTCTTTTTTAATTTTATCCAATTTAATTTTGATTTTAATTTTATTAAAATTTTATCTATTTTTTAACTTTATTAATTTTATATTTTAGCTTTAAACCAAATCTGAAAATTAATGATTAACTTTTTATATAACATTAGAACTCTCCTACCTTATTGAGTTAATGAATAATTGCTATTATTTAATTTTATTATTGAATTCATTCAATTTTTTGTTGATAATTATTGAATTCATTTCTCTACGCAGTATTCAGAGGATTTTTGCAGTGGAGAAATAAGCACACACAGCTGAGGCATAGTGTTGTTTTTTTTTTTTTTTTTTATTTCATTTGCTGTTTTAATGTGGAATAAATCTGATATTCGATATTTTTAAAATTTCTCTCTTTTATTATCTTAAGCATTTTTTTTTTTAATTCATAACTGGATAAAAATTAATTTGCGTTATTATACCGTAAATAAGACTGAAATTCTTTTCTTAGTGGCATACTGGTTTTGTTTTAGTTGAAGTTCTATTAGCTTCTTTTCTCCAATTCTCTTAATAATTGCTGAAGTTTGTTATTGACCATGATTCCTTTTCCTTTTGCTGACAAATATTGTGTACTACTCAAACAGGTAACTCATTCTATAGAGATTTCCATACTACAACGTTTGAAATTATCGCTGATCGCATCTGATTGTCGAAGTATTCTTCCAGTTGCTTCTATTATTACTTCCAATCTTCATCATTTCATTTGATGGATTGTAATTCTACATATGAAGAGTTTTTTTTTTTTTTTTATAATGGATGTCTTTCTAAATTTTTCAATTAAAGTTTTTCTAGTCAGTGCCATTTTTTTAATGAGCAATATCGCAGTCTTTGACAGTAG